ACTCTGCGATACACTTAATCTCAATACTCGCGCTAAAACAACACTGTAACGAATGAACGTTAACTTCAACAATACCCTGTGACTGCAGTTCAATTACTCAGTATCTACACACACATTACCTTACCCCTCTTTTATATACCAGCCTACCCTATCTAGCAAATACTAGAGCATTCGCCAAGATACGGGATAGTTCTAGAAACAAGTGGGCGTGAGAATTGTCACGTGATCTCGATGACGCAACAACTAGTTTATTCTTTCTCAATACAACTTTGCAATACACTTAATTTCCACAGTCACGCTATAACTTAAACAAACGCTATAATTCACAACGAACGATTCAAGCGCTTGACTCAATTTTCCGTATCTATCTCTGTCTGCAATTCAATACCATTGTTGCCGTCACTTCTTGGCAGTCTTATATACAAGAATACCGCACTCTAGTAAACACTCGAGCATTCACGAACCTTCGAAAATATAATGACGTGTTACTAGCGTCACGTGACTTCCGCTGTCGTAACAGAGTTTTATACCTTCTTATGCTATGATGTTTTCAAAACAAATTATAAACACTTTACTTACATTAGTTGAAGAAGCTTAAGCAGGGCCGGCTTTTGGGTAAGGTAGGCCAGGCAGCTGCCTTGCTTTTATAATTTTATTTTATTTTTGTTAGAGGACATAAGTTGCTCATATTTGCATTGAGATAAGCCTAGGGTGAAGTCAGTTCGCCATATTGAATTCAACTGAAATAAAGATTATCTATAACTTCTGTTTTGGCCGGTCCTTGCCTTAGGCCTCGCACTTGCTAATGCCGGCCCTGAGCTTAAGTTTACAGAGAAGGAGAAATATTTACATTAATACAAGACATTTATGGTTTGGGTTAAAGAAACTACCAAATCAAAAGGGGCTTATGAAAAACAGCTGCCTGATAATGGAAAACTAATTTTAACATTAAGGATTTCATTAAGTGTGTTAAGATAAGTAAAACATTCTGCTGGGGGAATGGGACCTTAAATGATGATGTAGGCAAGGCTTTGGTTGGAGTAATATTACGAGATGGATGGGCTTTTACATGTTTTCTTTTCTTCTGTTTTAACAATGTTAGCAATATTCCTGAACTTTAGCATCCAGTGGTAATTATCGGAATTGACTTGAATCCTGTAGATGTTGATCCCTTGATGGTAAATAGAAAGATTGTGAGATTAAAAACAAATAAAGCACCAGAACCAGGTAGTGTTTTTTCCAGATATGCAAGAATCTCCCCCTGAGTTTTGGTGGATCAATAGACAGTGAGTAAGTGCATGACGATTGCAGAGTTGTTAATGTTACTTATAATTTTAAAGGATGTGATAAAAGTTTCCCTGGAAATCATAAGCCAGTTAGTTTTGGTGGTGAACTTGAACTTTCAGAAAGTTTTATTAAAGTACCGCACAGTACACTGTATCAGAAGATATAAGTGTTGGAGGTTGGGGAAATACCAGTTGATTGGATTGTACGGTGGTTATGTAAAAGAAAGCTAAATGTTATTATTAATAGAATCCAGTCAAACTGGACCTTACTTTTTTTTTTATTAGAATCATGTTTCGTATTTCTGTGCATGGTCCTTTGTTCTTTCATACTTACATTAATGATATTGATAGAAGCATAATTTGTAAATTGTTAAAATTTACTGAAATTAAACTATTGGGTATTTCTAGCTGTACTGAGGCTGTATTGCAGAATGACTTGGATCAAATGGTAAGCTAGACAAATACTTGGCAAATGACATTTAATTAGAGTAATTGTAATGTAATACATTTACGTTATAATATGGATCCTGCGTTTGATATACACAGGAACTCATTCAACACCATGACTAAAGAAAAGGATCTTAACATAGCGATAGATAGATGACTTAAGCCAATCAGGCAGAAGTATGTTTCTAGCAGTAGAACTAATAGAATCATAAAGTATATGTATAAGAATATTCATTAAATATCAAAAGATGCAATTTTCTCTTTATACAAGCACTAGTTAGGCTTCACTTTGAATACTGTGTACTCTTCGTCTTAAAAAGATGTTCATATATTTGCTACTAGGGGGCTAGTAGGATAATTCTGGGAAAGTTAATTACAACTGAGATATCGGTAGAACAAAAGTCTCTGATTTATTAGAGCGATATGTTGAAGGTTATAGGACGAGGAAAACACAAGCTAGGATCCAATTATTATTTTTTTGTTGTTTTTTAATTATGCACAAAGCTACACAAGGGCTATCTGTGCTCTGCCCACCATGGGTATCGAAACCAGTTTTCTAGCGTTGTAAGTCCGCAGACATACCGCTGTGCCACCGAGGGGCAGGCTCCAATTAAGACAGTTTTGTTTTCTAACAGAGAGATTAACTCATAAAATAAGTTGCCATCAGTATTGGTCAGCATGTTTAAGAGAGGAATTGATGAACCTACGAAAAATAAAAGGCGGGTTTAAACCTTGGGATGCAAGGACAACTTTGAATAAATAATTGGCCCGGTTTTTGTTTGCATGTTATGTTATAATGTGGTATATCTGGTGAACAATCAATGTTGATATGGCCAGTTGTGAGTTGTTGAATTAATTAATGTGGTATATCTGGTGAACAATCAATGTTGATATGGCCAGTTGTGAGTTGTTGAATTAATTTTTGTTTGTTGTTAAGCACAAAGTTACATAATGAACAGTCTGTGCTGTGACTATTATGGGTATCAAACCCCAGTTTTTAGTGTTGTAAGCCTTTTGTCTTACTGCTGAAACATTGGGGATCGTTTTATTAATGAACTGGTGCCGATAAAGAAGTGTTTTATTGCACTTCTGATTCAAATTTCATTTACTAAGTTAATGTTCATTCTTACAGATTAAGGAAGCCGAATAGAATTGCATTTATATTAGACAGTGAAGCATTAGCAAGGAGCGTTTACACATTGAATGATCCAAAAATTACAGAATGAGCCTAATAAAGGATTGGGTTATTCCTGACTTTTATGACGGTATCAATAACGACATGACATTAAATACACAGGATGACAACAGCTATCTAGCGATATTTGGCACCATTTCTCCAAGAAGAGATTTGGAGACTGCAATGAGCCCAAAACCAGTTTTGTATCAAAGGGCGGATGGTGGCATTGTCATCCTGAAGTAGTCCATCAGTGCTGAATACATGAAAAGCATTATTGGGTATATTTAGTCAACAAAATGCATTGATAATCTTTGGATATCACTAGGGCCTTCAAGATAATCAAAGTTCTTGAATAATGCCACCTAAATATTTCTTAAATTATTACACATCTATAATAGCCTGACCTGTTCACAAAATGCATCGCCAGATTCTTGGGATTTTCACAATATTTCAACACTCCTATCTGCTCAAAGTACTTTGAAGATGAACCTTTAGACCACAAAACCTTCATCCAATTATCATGACACTACTCTTACGTTGTATATTTTTAGTTCTGGAAAATAGTTACAAATCATGCTGTAACTTCTTGGAAGTTACAGACATTTTTTCAATAATATATTTATTAGTGTATTGTAACTTTTAGTAAATAATTATAAGTCATGGTGTAATATACGGCTATTTATAGGTGTTCCTTCAATAATTTATCTATTAGTGTATTGTTAGCTCTAGTAAATAATCATAAGAAATGGTGTAGTATGCAACTAGTTATTCAGTAATATAGTACTGTTTACGAGTAATTTTACCCCTTCTTGTACGTCACAACGTTATGCATGACAACTTTACCACTCTGCATCACAAAATATGTATTTATAATTGTTGGTAATTTAGAGGTATTTATGAATCTTGTACATGAACGTGAACCTAGATCTGATTCTTGTATACCACAGTGCACCTAGTTTTGATTCATTTTTAACATACATGATTACCCCTTGGTGGTTAGTGGGCTTTCGACATGTTACTTTGCGGACACTCATTTCTAATTAATGTCCTTCTAGTCTGTCGCTTCAAAACTATGTATGGCTAATGCAGAGAGCCCTCGAGTAGCGTTGTACGAAATTTAAAAAATAATAAAAAATTCGGTCGATGTGCTTTTTGTTTCCGTATTTGTTCAGTGTTGTAAGTAAATTCCAGACTGAAGAGTTGAGTTTCCATACATAGGTGTCCTTTTCTATGACTTACTGTAGTCATCTAACGGCTTCTAAGGCTGTGTCTACTTAAACACCTGTCTGTATGCCCAAATCAACGAATAACAAACCAAGAAACACTGATAAAATGTAACGCTTATGTTACATAACACTTTGACAAAAAGTTTTTCGTTTATCATACGAAATAAAAAAGCAACATATGGAGCAGAAAGAAAAATCCTAAAACTTTCGTAGTTATTTTAAATCACATCATATGAAGCTTAATACACTACGAGCTGGATAAAACAACTGGCAAATTGAAAGCAATATTTAACATACAGCGTTCAAATAATAAATCAAACACATTTTCAAGCTGTAAATAGGCAGTGAATACAATTCAAGTAAATAATAACATTGTGAATTTACAAATTACAACTTTATACATGTAGCTGCCTCCTAGTGGCAGACTAATTAACAGTAAATTTTTTTTAATTATAAAGTAGCTTTCTCACTTTCCTAAGACAACCAGCTAACATTTACAGGTCCTAAATCAATGGTATATTGACTACCTACTACATTTGTATCACATTGGTTACCTCAACCTTCTGAGTAGTTTCTTGTTGCTTTACATCCAGCATGTTCGCTAAAGCAAATAAATACTCAGGTCTTTTACATCTCGAGTTTAACACACATAAAATATCAATACCGTATATACACGATTTTTACACCTGATTTATAATATCCCCTTGCGCGTTAGTTTTAGACAAAGCAAGATTTAGTCTTTTCCAGAAAAGCTTTTGTCCCACAGAATCTTCTGTCCAGTGTATGTACGTTCTTGTCTTCATTAAGTATTTCAGGTTCTTTGAAATAAGCTTCTCGTCAACTTTACTCAAACAGACCAAAATGAGCGCGTCACGACTCTCGTCCAGCAGCCGACATTGTGCCATATGAAGTTCAAACATACACCAATTACTTTTCACAAAAGAATCCGAAAGAACGAGAAGTGTCTTTCTACTTTTCGTGATTGCTTGGAGAATATTTTCGGTTATTGGTCTTCCAAGTTCAAAGTCTCTGTCGTGGATACAAACCTTAAGTTGAGTTTCATCGGTCTCTATAGTAGGCAATAGTTTACGATATACCCATTCTACCTCGGTGTTATTGTAGGAAACGAAAACGTCATAGACATAATTATTGCCTTCTTCGATCTCTCGATATCGTTTTACTTTTGTGCGTAACCAAAACCAATAGTACTTGATATACCAACGAAAGCGGTAACCGACCAGGGTTACAACCGTAATGAAACTTGCGATGCAGGTTAAAGTTGTCGATAAAATTAATACGATATTAACAAAGTGAACTCTGCAGTGGTCTGTTGGTATCTCTACACTTAGAATGGACTGACCTTCTAGTTTTTTCGTTCCTTCACAGGAATACGCTAGAGATACGTTAAGGTCTCCAATCGAAACGTTGGTACTTTTCAACCATTGTTGGAAAACGTCCATTCCGCACGTATAACAATCAAATGGGTTACGGGAAAGAATTAGATACTGCAGGTTCTGAAAATCCTTCAACATAGCTTGGGTAACGTAACTTATATCGTTGTTATCTAAATGTAGTGATATTAAATTGGATTTATTTGAAAATACAGGTTCATTCCAAGCCACTAAATTGTTGTGTGACAAGGTCAGATTTTTGAGATTTGTGCAGAAAGAGAACATTCTAGGCTGCAATAATTTTATTTCATTGTAGTCCAAAAACAAAGCTTGTAAAGAAGGCGTCATTTGAAAAGGGTAAGTATTGTTTTCTAGAACTAAGAGATTTCCTTTCAAAAAAAGGAAGTGGAGATTTTCAAGACCATAAAATGTGTAATTAGATAAATATTTCATTTTATTATCCACTAAGCTAAGAAATTGAAGAGATCGTAAGGTTTCGAATGCAAAGTCCTCTATTTCTATGTAGTTTAATGAAAGGTCTAATACCTTTAAGTTTATAAGGCCGTACAAATCATTTCTTTTGAGAGTATCATACATATAGATTTTACTAAGATAAAGTTTTTCTAAATTTACCAAAGTAGAAAACTGACGTTTTCCTAGTGCAAATCGCACTTTTTCGTTTCCGTTATCCGTCATATCAAGTTTTCGTAGATTTGTAAGCGAAACAAATTCCCCACTATCAATAGATATTATGTTGTTTCCGATAAGGTATAGTTCTTCTAATTCTGAAACATTTTGAAAACTACAAAGAAACGGAATTGAACAATAATTTAAGGAAAAAACTTTTAAAAAGGGCATATAAGGAAGTGAATAAGCAGAATTCAGGTAATTTTTATCCAAATACAAAAACTTTATGGAAGTGTTTGAAAGAGATGCGATACCGTACGAAGGAAACTTTATCAAATGGCGGAGATAACGTAGATACAATATCTGAATTTTTGTGTTTGTTAGGCCTAATGTAGTATTCTTTAACGCCTCTTCAGACATAAGGTTGTTGTCCAGATTCAATATATTCAAATTTTCAAAGACTCCTAGTGCCCCTTCTTCAACCACAGTTAAGCTACAGTTTTGTAATAATAGTTTTTTTATGGAACTGTTCTGTAAAACTTGTAAATCCTCTTTGTACAAGTCCCGAAAGTAAGAGTTGCTTGAAAGATCCAATCTCAACAAAAATCTTAGCGTAGAAAGAGCTTCTGAGATAAGTTGAAATGAAAAAATTAAATTATTAGAAAGGTTAATTTCTACTATTTTGGGCGTTTCTAAGAAGAGTAGAGGATCTAAAGTCTGTATTTTATTCTGTCTTAGATCCAAAACAAGCAAATTATACAATCCAGTAAATAGCGTTGATGTTACGTTATTGATGTTGCTTTCAATCAACCCAAGGCTGTATAAATTGTTTATACTGGAAAACAATGGACGACTTAAAAAAGGGTAATTTCCTCTTGATATGTTCAGACGTACAGTTTCTCTTGGAACGAGAGTCTCTAACTTGTAGATATCCATAATATCAACAACAATTGTTTTCCAAAGATAAAGCCTCACCCTGTAATTCTCTCTTGATTCATTATAGCATCTATAAAGAAAACTAATTTTCAAGCCTTTATTTTCATCTGTAGTATTTTTTTGCGCCTGAGGTTGAACTTCATGACAGAATAATACAATGGTGAGAGTCCAAAAGAAAATAATCCTTAGCCAGATACTTCCTGCAACACCTCCTGCAGAAAAACAACAAAAAAGTTTATATTTATTAATTAGTAACACCAAAATGTTTATTTGTAAATTTACAAATAGTCCAGTGACTTATGGATACTACGTACCATGATTTAATGATGACATTTAATTAACTAAAGAGAAGGAATTCGATTGTTCAGTTTCACGACTCAAAATAACAACGTGCTGAAATAAAAAAAAAATGGGTTTTGATACCCGTGGTGGGCACTGTACAAAGAATCAATCGCGTAGCTTCGTGTTAAATGACAAACAGGTAGACAATGAAGCTGAAATATCTAGAAAAGAACAAACACAAATGTTCCTACCTGAACTCAATATTTACCAAATAAAGTGAACGTTAAAATGATTACTCGCTAGCTAAGAATCACCAATTTAAATTCTCACTAACGTAGGTTCCATAAAATATAACTTGTATATTTTGGAATTAATGTTTCATGAACTTCTTTATCGTCAGGCTGCACAACTACATCAATTCGGAATAACCAGCGTTGACTTTAGCCTTTCCAGAACCAACTCTGTTTTTGTTTTGTTTTTTCTGGTAAAATCGGTCTACATTTGCTCCAACTCCTACAGATTTTCAGGAAATCGACACGGAGCTCAAACGAGAAAGATGATGACATCGTAAGTTTTGTAACTTAGCAACAAAATTAACAGGGTTTGGTCCGACGTGACTGTTTCTCATCCACCCACATTAAACCCATCTTGTTGTATCATTTATCCTGAAAAAAGCTAGAGGGGTGTTCTTTCTTTAGTAACAGCACTTTTCATGACTCGGCAAACGACATGGATTCAAAATTCCATGGAAGATAAGAATTAAGTTCACGGGTACTCCACATCCCAAGTTATATTCATTAAGCATCTTACACTCTCGGTGGTTATATTCTTAATTTGGTAAAACATATTTTTCAACCTATTAAAAACAAATACACGCCTTTTCCAGTCTTCTTAGTGCTAGGATTAACCTTTGCGAAGATTACAGAGACAGTTGCTTTGGCCAATTGTCACAATTATTTTTTACCTCTGTTCACCATCTGTACTGAATATTGTTTCGTAGTGTGAGAGAGACTTGTCGAAGCTAGTAAATGTTAAGAAAACTATTGTTGCCAAAATTATTAATAGCTCAACGTTTAGCGTTCTAAATCTGAGATTATTTTATCCTATAGACCACTTATAGTTCATCCTACAAAACAAAAAACAATTCCTAAAACTTATTATAAATACACTCCTGATTTTCACATCTACGGCCATTTTCGAAAAAAGGGCTTTCTAAACAGATTGCCCCCCAGTGGCACAACGGTACTTCTGCGGATTTACAACACTAGAAACCGGGTTTCGATACCCGTGGTGGACAGAGCACGATAGCCCATTGTGCTTAACTATAAACAAACAAATCTAAATAGATCACCAACATTTTCATGGTTCCATCCAAGAATATTTGTTAAAGCAAAATTATCGCACTGGTACTTGCGTAGTCACGTATTTACACACCTTTTGCGTGTTTTAAATACATATTATTAGTTTGCTGGTAAAGTTGAGTCCGTATTAATAGTAGTAGAGACGACCCACAATTCACATAATGGTTAATAATTATCTCATGTGAAGTCATGGAGCTAATAAATCAAGTAATCATATTTTACTTAAGGCCTAGCAGTTAGGGCAATAGAATCTCAATCTGCGGGTCGCGGGTTCGAATACCGTCACCGAACATGATCGCCCTTTCAGCTGTGAGGACATTATAATGTGACGGTCAATCCCACAATTCGTTGGTAAAATAGTCCAAGAGTTGGCGATAAATGATGTTACATAGCTTGCCTATCTATCTTGCCTATTCTATCACTTGAAAATTAGGGACGGATAACGCAGATAGGCTTTGGGTAGCTGTCTGCGGAATTCAACAACAAAACAGACACATTTTACTTACTATCTTGTAAGTAGTGATGATACAAGTGCGCGAAGATGTACAAATTTAAAGAGCTTTTAAGTTGTAAATCGACTGATATTTAGGGAAAGCTCACATGAAGTATTTTTCATGCTCAGTGTACATACGCCACTTCTGAGGACTGGTTGGTCACTCTAGACTTCCATTTTTTGTCCATTCTGCTAGGATAACGCACTTTTTCAAGTCTTGCAAATTTGTCTATCTATTCTGAATCTCGAGTGAATAGTCTTCGTTCTATCGTTAGACCTTCAAAAAGTAGGTTGGTTTACCATAGGCAGTTGTGTGACATTTTCCTATTGGTTGAATAGTTCATTTAAAATTTTGAAAATGGGTATCTGCATGTATAACTTTTTTGTACCGGCCTTCCTTTTTTTGGTCATAATAAATATTATCTGTTGTTTTGTTTTGTTTCGTACAGCATACACTTGGTCTAATTTTAAATCTACAACATCTATGGGCGAAATTTGAGATTAAAATGTGGGAGAGAGCAAAATTAAATATATTTCAAAAGAACAACGTTAAATTACATAACCTCCAATGTTGCACGCCTGATCTTTGAACGTACGAAATATATCAGACTGGTTGGTTTCCTGATAGCTTTCTTTTCACTGACAAAAGTTATCTTAGCGCTAACGAGGACAATTGAAGAAACCGACATTCTCTGACCAGAGCAAAAGAGCTGTTACCACGTCGACACCGACTCTAACCATAACACCAACGAGGACAACTGAAGAAACCGACATTCTATGAACAGAGCAAAAGAGCTGTTACCACGTTGACACCGACTGTAACCATAACACCAACGAGGACAACTGAAGAAACCGACATTCTCTGACCAGAGCAAAAGAGCTGTTACCACGTCCACACCGACTGTAAACATAACACCAACGAGGACAACTGAAGAAACCGACATTCTCTGACCAGATCAAAAGAGCTGTTACCACGTCGACACCGAACTGTAACCATAACACCAACGAGGACAACTGAAGAAACCGACATTCAACGATCAGAGCAAAAGAGCTGTTACCACGTCGACATCAACTCTAACCATAACACCAACGAGGACAACTGAAGAAACCGACATTCTATGACCAGAGCAAAAGACCTGTTACCACGTCGAGACCGACTGTAACCATAGCATCAATAAAGATAACCAAAGAAACACAAAAGTTTTGTAAATTGAGAAAAAGAGTTGTTACCATGATATGGAACCACAAAAATCTTAAAGCGAGGTTTACTCTTGAAACAGTGGATTATTTTCCGGTATTAAAAGGAATATCTAACATTTTTACTTTCTTCGTTGCACTCATATTTTACCAGATACGAGAAATGTATCATGGCGTTTTATTTCCCATGTTCGAAGTCCATAAGGCGAAGGGCGTTTTACATTTACGAGATTTAAAACCAGACAAGCAGGAATAAACAGGTTACGGTGTTAGCTCCCACGGCATATATCACCGAAATCTGACATGCGCAATAAAATAACAATTTAAGAATTCTACCAACTCACAAAAGTTGTTGCAACAATATCGATTAGGACTATAACTAGACCTATTTTGTTTGTTTATTTGTGTTTCGTCAAAATATTAATGTTTAACACATAATGTAGTAACGAGTGAGGCAAAGATAATATTATATTTTAGAAAAATATCTGCACTTTTTAATTAACTGGTACACGGATCCAGGGTTCTTTGTTCATTTAAGTTTCAATTCTTAGAAAGATAACTCCACTTTTCAATTAACTCGTACATGGATCCAGGGTTCTTTGTTCATTTAAGTTTCAATTCTTAACAGAAAAATAACTGCACTTTTCAATTAACTTATACACAGATCCAGGGTTCTTTGTTCATTTAAGTTTCAATTTTTAACAGAAAAATAACCGCACTTTTCAATTAACTCGTACACGGATCCAGGGTTCATTTAAGCTTCAATTCTTAACATGAAAATAACCGCACTTTCCAATTAACTCGTACACAGATCCAGGGTACTTTGTTCATTTAAGTTTCAATTCTTAGAAAAATAACTGCACTTTTCAATTAACTCGTACACAGATTCAGGGTTCTATGTTTATTTAAGTTTCAATTCTTAGAAAAATAACTGCACTTTTCAATTAACTCGTACACAGATTCAGGGTTCTATGTTTATTTAAGTTTC